ATATGCAGGCACTATTATTATAAGTTAACTGAATCCCTTGATGCATTCATTGCGAAATAGCCTATCTTCAGGTATTTCAGCTGCACTAATTTCCTTTACAAAACTTGCCTACGTCAGAGCCGTAGATAAATACGGATAGAATATTATTTTGTAGTAATGTTAGATTTTAGCGTGTTCTCTAGTTTACCGTACTTTAATAGCGTCAAATGTGCATAAAATATGTATATTCCTATTATGACTAAGAAGGTATTTGTAAGTCTCAGGATAAATAAGAAGAAACCCAAAATTGAGAGGCGAAACGTTGACATTTATTGTAAATAAATAAATAGCTTTATTACCTGAAGTAGTTCAGATTGTTCTCTGAAAATCATCATATCAGGGATGAATATAATAATAGTGCCTGCATATTATATAATATGTGTCGACGTGTCACACGCACACGTTTTTTTTTTCTCGACTGTCTTTTTTAACAAGTCCTGTTTATAAAAAGCAATAATTATAAACTCTAAGAATTATTATAAATTTTGTTTACTGACAATGAGGCCATTTAATATTCCTGTATTGGAGGTCAAAAATTCAAAATAAAAGTGACATTATTGATGAACATAAGGGTACATATTTTCAAAATACGACAACTTTAATCTATGTATATGAAAAATCTGCCAATTATATTAGCAATTTTACCTTTATTAAAAAAAAATGTGATTTGTATTGTTTCGAAAAATTTTTTTAATTGAGCCGAGTACATTAATTTAATGTATCATAAAATTGAATGTCCTTTATTCACAACAACATGATCCTTTCGTTTCGCGCAGTTCACATTCGACTGCTTTCAAGTCGACGTTAATAAAACGATGACTTACAAGCGTCTGTCCGGGTAGAATCCGAGGGAGACATGGACTAAAACATCAGGTGAATTGAGGGAACACCGCAGTGTGCGCCTCTTTTGACTAAATAAACGTTAATGCCACCGTCGCGTCGTCAACGGCAAGCGCCAGAGTATAATTCTTCCCCCTTTTGTGCTCCTTCGAAAGGGTCGCTTGTTGCCTATTGCTTGAAGCTGCTGATGATGATGCTTACTATTATTTAAGCTGAACCGTAGCTTTCAGCTACCATATCTAAATCTCAAGTCGCTCGACGAGCCTGCCAAAAGCTCGCTGGCGTCCGTCGACAAGTTTCACTGCAGTGATTTCTGCTATTCCACTTCAGTCGTTCGCTGTTCAGTCGCGCAGTAGCTATCGTTTCGGAGAGACGTGTGGTTTCATTTTCAATTCGAACGTTGATGCGCGCACGCGAACGGTAACTTTTTAAAATCTAAGATTATTTTTTTTCATTTGTCGGAAGTTTTTATCGCAGAGTATACAGACCAAATACGAAGTGACAGTGGAAACAGACTACAGCCACTTACACGCCGGGACACAAAGTTTACAAATACAATGATTTATTGGCCGCAAGGCAATTATCTGGAAGTAATTGAAATCGGTTAGCGCCGTACTAATTAAAAAAAAAAATAGAACAGAAGAATACAGACAGACAGAACATTACCGAGTGCCTTCATCTCTTTACCACACACCCGGACGCAAAACAAAAATGTGTTTGCTTAAGCTGGCGCCACTCTAAACATTCCGCGTGTTTAAAAACTGTAAAGAATAAACAGACCCGCTTTCTCGTTTAGAGGGTTTCTTCTCCACCAATTGACTCAGCCTCTTTCGTCCTACGAGCTGTTAAACAACATGTGTGAACGTGACTATGTCGTTTTTGACTCAAAACGCAACGAAGAAAGTGAACGAATCCGGTGTCGCAATCCCACAGCAATTCTTGCGATTCTCTTTGTAACTGTGATAACGCTGATAAGCGGTGTTCGAGGCGCCGTGGAAATGGAAGAAATGATCTCTTCGTCGTCGGAAACGATCTCTACATCAATCAACAGACCCAAGAGCGTTTCCGCGTCGACTTCAGATAATCAACAACAATTCAATCATCAAAGGCGACTCGGTTGGCCAAATTTTTTCACAGGTATTGAACGCTTATCTCTTATTTATTTAAGTCGCTAGTTGCTGGTATTTTTAATTGTTTACATAATTTATCGTGAATGTGCAGTAAGTAGTTCTTGCTGCACATAGTCCAGAAAAAGCGAACGTTGAATGGTATTTCTTTTTAGTGAAACAGATGCACAGGGATAGCCGGAGGACTCATTGCTATTATAAATATGTATGCGCTTTTGTAAAAAAGTATACTCTTTATTAACAATTCAATTACGGATATTGCTTCTTATGTCTAAACATATATTACTCGATAAGCGTTCCTCGATTTTATTTTAATATGTTATAAATATTTTAATAACTTGATTATCCTATGTGGGTTTTATTATCTAATTGTAACATAAAATTGACGCCATTTATTTATAGAATTTATCAATGAAAGCAAACAGAACAACAACACGGAATATTCTAAATGCAATGTACTTTTCTTGTTTTATAATTACTTTTTCTCAGATTTTACGTTTTCCCCCTTGATTCCTTTGCAAACATCACAAAGGATTATAGAGGGGTAGTAGAGTGATCCAAACAAAAAACTAATATTTTTTTTATTTGATTCTCCTATGAAAATATCTACGTTAGTGTATCATGTTTTAAGAGTCCCCTTCAGAGGACATCTCAAAAAAAATTTTAGGAGGTCGCTCAAAACTTAAGTTTCCAAAATCGATTTTCGACAATTTTCTACAATAAAAATTCAAAAGATCCTGAAACATTGAAGTTGATATTTTGATATTTAAAAATCGCTCAAGATTTTTTTAAATTTTCAAGTACAGTACTTTAGATTTTCACTCGTCTCTAAAATTTTTCAAGGAAGGTCGTTAATATTCATGTTCAGATGTCACTCGAAAAGATTTAAAGTACCTACCCTACTTGGAAATTAAAAAAATCTTTAGCGATCTTTAATATCAAAATATCGATTTGAAATTCTTTTATCATCTTTATCATTTTTATTGTAGAAACAATAAAAGAAAATAAAAAAATCGATTTTGGAAAGTATTAAATTTTTTTTTGAGATGTCCTTTGGAGGAGGCTCTTGAAACATAATAAACTAACATACTTTCATAGGAGACTCGAAAAAAGTTTTTTTTTTGAAAACCCTAAGGGGTATCAATTTGTTGAATTATTCTGTTTTTTTTTTTTAAGACCAACCCGTAAGTTATTATTAATGACATAATTAATAACATATCTTAAAAACAAATACCTTTCTAGAAATAGGTATGCAAAGGATATTTTCCAGTGTTAATATATTTTTTTTTGATATTGCAAAAATGGTTATCTTTTTGCATCTCACAACACACTGATTAGTTAGCTTGTGTTAATTGTTATGCATTGGATCAAATGTCTTAATTAAAAAAACATCCTCAAAAATGAGATAATTTACTTTGTTGCAAGCATTTACTGTTTACAATTCTTTATATTAGATATTTAATATAATAAGATTTTTATAACCAGATAGGTACTAAAATCTCACTTACTTATTTTGAAATTCATTTTTTTTATTCTGACTAGTTAAAAAAGACTCAAAAGTATATCTCTAAATCTCAAGAGCATCATTAAAATAATTAAGATGTCATCTTATGACATTTTTCAGATTCCAAACACTGGCTAAACCTGATCAACACGATAGTTTTTAATCGTCACTACTTCGTTTTAATGCTTTCTAAAATTACTGACCAAATACATTTTGGACATACCTATTCAATGAAACAATTCGTTCGGGACTCTATTCTTCTTGGAATTATTATTATCTACATAATAAGGCATTTGCAACGATAATAGAACAACGAGTAATTAGAATTATGGGAAATATTTGCATACTTGTCATAAAGACCATACATTAACAAAATTCTGATAATTACGATATCCAAATCCTGATGTTTAGGTTTCTGCGAACTTGATGAAGTTAAATATGCTCAGTAGCAAACAAACTTGCGAAAACTAAGTTTATTTACATTAATAATGCATTTCCAGTTATCAGCATGTTATAAAAGAAATTATTTGTATACAATATAGAACACGCGTTTCTACAAGTTTTTATATTTCCCATTTAGTATTTATAGGAAGCATGACAGAATGTCCTCTATATTATCTTGTTACATACATGAACTGTATTCGGAATACTTTTTTGCTCTCCACTTAGTAGAGTTTTTCATTACTTCAAGTCTTTATATTTTTGTTAGAACAACGTTGAGTTTGAGCAACTTACTCGTTCACTTCTCGGAAAACATTAAATGGCGTTAAGTATTTGTTATTTTCCAAGAAAGCGCGTTATTATTCAGTCTTAAATGTTATTTAGCGCGTTAAAAGGCCTAATTTTAAAAATAATCTTCCGACAATCTTTAAAATTCGGATGAGCGTGCTGTGCACGCGGAGCACATCAAAAAAAAAGGACCCTAAAAGTTTTCCGGCATTCCTTGTTTTTTTGATTAAGGACAAACACATTCTTTCTGTCATGTTTAGTAATAAACAATACAATTACAGCAATGTTTGTGTATAAAACGCGAGGTAATTATTCCAATTACACGTCACCTTGGATACCTGAGATGCTATTAAATTTTCGACAATATTAAGCAAACTGCTAATGAGCATCAGTCTCAGCGAAGCACATTCTAAAAGTTGTATAAAAAATTCGACACACAACTCCTGAATTTATTGCTATATTCACATAAAAAAATTGTATAGGCACGGGGTTATTATAATTAAACGATAAAAATATCGTAACTCGCTGTTAATTTACTTATTAAACATTAAAAAATCAGGTTTTAATTAACAACGAAAATGTGAAAAAAATCTTGGAATCCAGCTTAAGAGGGAAGTAGTTAAGAGTAAGCCTGGGTAGGCCAATGCCTATGTATTCATTGAAAGTTCTTGCCCATGTGCTGGCCCATCTTGAATAATTAACTTAACCCGATATACTTAACGCAAAATTTAAAGTCGGAAGCATATCACTTCATATGACCCAGTACGCTTAATGCAAAATATGTGACGCTTTTATTCATCATCATCACAAGGTCGTCAGTCCGAAGACTGGTTGGACACGTACCTCCACTCTTTGCTATCCTGAGCTAAACTTCGCATTTCCCTAAAACTAGAACAACCCTATTTGCAAACAGTAATCTAACCTAGGTCTACCTCTGCCCCTCCTAACTCCTGCTTCTGCCTCTAATATGTCTCTGACTAGACCGTCATGCCTGAGAAGGTGTCCTACCAACCTATCTCGCCTATTTTTTATTGACTTCCATAGAGTCCTCTGTTCTCCTATTCTTTCCAATACCTCTTCATTTCTAACCTTTTCTACCCACGTTATCCTCATCAACGGTGAAATATGCAAAGATAACACTGGTCACGTCCCAGCAACTTAACTGCAATATTTCCATGTACCCAACTTCTTCAGAAGATTCATTAGTGTTTATAAGATTATTTTTATTATGGCATCCTCTTTAATTTAGAAAAATGTATGCGTGCGGTGAAAGGAAGCAACAATGGCAACCTTCACAACAAGTGTTTGAATAACAAATAAGGCCAAAAGGGATCCATTTACCTGGTGCTTGCGTGTGTACATACGAAACTATTTGAGCAGAAGACATAATAGTACAATGAAAGCTCTTAACACACTAATATACAATGGAGCGCTTTCGAATTGTCCGAGCATACCGTTCTTATTAACGGTTCGAAAATATTTAGACTTGACAAACACTGACGTCAAAGCGTCAATTTTTGAATGAATAAGGACTTTGTTGACTCACCAATTGTTAAATGCTGCTCATCAACTTCTGGTCTGCGGAAAAAGCACATCCGTTTTTGGAATCATGAAAAGTTACAGAAGATTCTGAAACAAGAGAAGTTTTCGTTTAGGTTCGAATAAATGTGGATTACAGCGAGCACATACGAATCGGATAAATTGTTCGTTACATGCAGGTGGTCATTATATTAATACAATGTACTTATTTTTACAATAAGTAAAGACACCGGGAAGCATCTGCTACTTAATAAGTCATAAAAAATCTGGTAATTTATTCCAGCGGCGTGCATCTACATATGTATTGCTATACCTATTTACACATAAGAAATAACATTTTGTTCAATATAAGGATTTTATAAATATTCATTTTTAAAAAGAAGAAAAAGAATATTTACAATAATTTTAAGGGTGCACTTTGGATTACAGATAAGTACCTATATACAAATATATATAAATGTATTGTATATATATTAGGTAAACGAGTTATCCCATCATATTTCGTAAGAATTGACATACAATACAACAATTTAAATTAATAGTATTATCGGTAATACTCGAATTAGGTTACTGGCATTACAAGTACAACATAACTATACAATTTCTCTGTTCTCTTCTCAAAAACTTCCTAATTAGATTATCACTTACACATAACATGCAACCATATTATCGTAGTTGTCTGTTGTTTACTTTCTATATTTTAACTTTTTTTCGTTCAGATCTTCTTAATTAGACTGTAACAAATGTGTTTATGTAGTGGATTGTCGGGAGGGCAACAGTATAAAGTCCCTGACGCGACTCTTTGACAGGCGCCCTGCAACGGGAGGCGCCAGGAGGCTTTTCCTCCAAATGTCTCTTTTAAGACTCGCTCTTTTTTCTTCAAGTGTCTTCTCAAAATATGCACTACTATTATCATCGAAGCACTCGCATCCGGTTTTTAAAAAGAAGTGCTCCTTTGAAGTCGACATGTATTTATCAATTTAAAACAGAATTTGAAAGCCTGCATGTGTATATATCAACTATGGAAAAACAACAAAAAAAATTAACCTCTGCAAAACTTTACCTAAAATAAGCAACTTCACAATCTACATCCCTGTAAACAAAAGTAAGGAGATGACCACGGCAACATTAGGTACCTTTGCGAATTTTGTCTTTTCCTGCCGTAAGCTTGTGGTCCTATTTTAAAAAAGACTCAAAAGTATATCTCTAAATCTCAAGAGCATCATTAAAATAATTAAGATGTCATCTTATGACATTTTTCAGATTCCAAACACTGGCTAAACCTGATCAACACGATAGTTTTTAATCGTCACTACTTCGTTTTAATGCTTTCTAAAATTACTGACCAAATACATTTTGGACATACCTATTCAATGAAACAATTCGTTCGGGACTCTATTCTTCTTGGAATTATTATTATCTACATAATAAGGCATTTGCAACGATAATAGAACAACGAGTAATTAGAATTATGGGAAATATTTGCATACTTGTCATAAAGACCATACATTAACAAAATTCTGATAATTACGATATCCAAATCCTGATGTTTAGGNAGGACTGTAGAGTGGGTGAGCCAAAATTTCGAAGTCCAGCTTCCGTAGGGCGGCCATCGCAACACGGCGAACAGGCGCGTTGACGTGCAGAAGGAGACACCTTTGGTCAATTGTTCTTTTCTTTTTTCTTTGATTGCTTCCTTTAACTGCTCTCCGATTATGAAGAATCCTTTATCGTTATAATTGATCAACAGGATCCCATCGGAGTCCCAAAAGACTGTCGCCATGATTTTCCTAACCGGCTGTGACACCTCAAACTTCTTGGGTGGTGGTGTGCCTTTTTTTGTGTCACTGATGCATACAGTTCTGTTTGGACACAGGTTCATAACGATGAACTCAAATTTCGTCGCAAGTGACAATTCGAGACAATCTACAGCGGTCCAAAAATGTTGAGGTGGAGTGAGCATTCTCGGCACCCATCTTACCCTGACTTCAGTCAAAATGATCATGAAGATTTTTAAAAATGGTTGCATCTGATATTTCTACCATTTTTGCGAGCTGTTTCATCTAAAGTCGGGCATCTTCCAGTGTTAATTTTTCGACTTTCGAATGATTTTCGGAGTGGTTACCTCGATCCGCCGGCCTGGCCGAGGGTCGTCTTCATGGCAAAGAGGGTATGCCTCTTGTAAACCATGGTTTTACCTGGGCAAGAGTCCCCGTAAACGGATGACATCTCTTCCAGTATATTTTGATCTGATTTTCCTTACTTGGTAAGGAGCTTTATAACAGCGCGATACTCGATTTTCTCTATATTTCACAATTTGTTCCCGATTGACTTCTTTCGTCGACGATAATTCAAAGACTGTTGACCTAATTATGATAAAACTTGGTATTTATACTAATAATGAGTTGCTTAATACGTAATGATTCGAATATGTACCCTCCCTAATGACGTACCTACCCATTCCGCAAACTTAAAAACGCACCCTCGTATGCACGGGATAATTCGAATATCGAATCATGGAGTTCGGAGATCTAAAATTAGTAAAAATGTGCTTAGGAATACTTGAATTACCTCTGGATATAATAAGACCCACTGTTTTCTTAAATGAATTAAAATCGTTGTACTCAAGACGTGCCAAAGAAACAAAACACATTTCATAAATCTTACATTACATTGTGTGGTACAGAATCAGATAGTTGGCAGTGGATCAAACTTTTAAGAGTTTTATAAGTCTGTTTGCTTTCCAAGTATGTAATACAAAATTAAAATTAAATGCACGTAAGCATCGTCAGTTACATAATACACAATTGGCATTTTATGTTTTTAATTGTTTAATTTATCGCATACGAACAATATTTCTTTTTGAGAAATTTTAACTGCATTAGATACATATAACGTAGCAGATGACAACAGACAGTTAAAATTAGTTTTTAGTTTGGTTGAACGTTCTGGGAGATGTTTCCGTATCGAGAAAAAAATTAGTTAACAGCCATTTAGTATGCTAAACGAGACATCCTTGACCTTGATTTATGTTGTGAGCTGGCTTTCTGTTTAGGAACTAATGAAGAGGCTAAAATTCCTACGGTCGCCGTTTCTGTTAAATTTTTTCCCAAATAAATTACCCGAATGTGCCATAAATAATGTGTAATACCTTATTCTAAGAGCGAATCGTGAGTCACAGGACACTTATGTTATTGGTCATCCTACACATGCAGACATATACAATAATACATGCGTCTCTATCATATGGTGTATTCATGAGACGAAATTGTTTCGATTCGTTGACCACAAAATTGAATAAAAAGGTCAATAATAACGCAACAACATAATATAAGAAGTAGTAATTACTTCTGTTATTATTAATAAAAATGTAGACATTATGTCGAAAAAATTACAGAGCATTCAAAAAATTGTAAACTTCAAGATGTTTAAAGGATTTCGCAACTGATAATAAGAAAACATTGAAAAGCTTTTTGGGTATTAAATATGTGACAAATTACTATTAAGAAGTGTATCATGAAAATATTTCGGTACGATCTGATCTAGGATGATATAGTACCCCCGTCTCCTTAAACGAGTTCTACTGTATTTTCATGTTACAGTTTTTACTAACCTTAAGTAAAAAAGTTTTTGGAGTGATTTTTGTTTTGGAGCCCAAATTCTATACTTTTACCAATATTCATTTTTACAAAAGTGCTATGAGTATCGATACTTTAGACCAACTAATGACCAAAAGTACCCCGTAACGCTACTCAAAGACAATTTTGTTTTCATAGACTGTTTGTTACATTCATGAACACAATTTTTAATTTTTTATTCATTGGCATTCTTTTACTTTCCATTTACTTGTTTTTACATGCATTTTAATTTCAACCACATGGATTAACTGCAGTAGTTACTGTTTTCACAGGGTGGGATTTCTATTTATATGAACATCAGAAAAATCATCTTATAACTGCCTGGTTGGAATTATAACTTTAACCAAGCATCTTTAAAATCCGATGCTGGCAACATACTCAAATTCTGCTTGTTTGCATCTCTTTCTATTACACATCAATTGGTGTAATGTTATTCATTTTTCATAATTAGTGTCCGCTGCAATTCCTACCTGACATCTCTTTTCTGTGTTTACGATATTCCCTATAACGTCTGTCGTGAGTAAAAATAGGCGTTCTATCAACAACCGCTTTAGTCTAGTCAGTAAGTTGAAAGAAAAAAGTAAATGCGACAGTTTTATTGCGGACTGTGCCAATTTTGAACGTCCAAACTATATTGATACTTCCTTTCGATACACTTACCTAATAAAAGCAAAAATCATTCATTTCTACCCTCAGAATACGAGTCCTCCACCATAATTTTAAATGTACACTACAATTTAGTTTTGAACGCGTGTGTCCAAATTCAAATGCATAAAGAATATTCGAGTTGTTGAGAATTGTATCCTAATAAATATTGGAATAGTAGGTAGCTGTTTTAAACGTACGCGATTCGAAACGTAACAAGAATTCAATTTCACCAGTTAATTATTTGCATACGATTTCCATCGGGTTATGCAACGGTTGTCAAAATGTTATTACAATACACGTACGTATATACATAATTATATAAAAACGGGTCGGATAACGAATGCGACATTGGTCGAGTTTTTTTGTCTTCAGCCAAGAGTAATAACAAGGCACTTGCTGATCATACGGTCTGATCGCAATAAGACTTGTTTATTGTATTCCGTCATGTTTTAAGGTCCAACAGTTATGCCCGTGTGTTGTAGGCACAAAAGGTGCCGTAGGTACATACGCGGTAGGTATAAAACGTTTGCAAATGAAAAAGATTATTTCACGGAACGAAACAAATTATAAATCAATTATACACATGAATACATGTATATTGTGTAGTGTAAGTACATGTATGATAGTATGGTATCAAATTCACTTTATTATGTATCAAGAATACACATGTTCGCAAAAGGGTACGAAACAAACGAGGCGCTTCTTAAAAAGTTGATAATAATTATTATTCATTGTTCACATTTTCGTAGATATCGTTAGTAACTGATCTCATAAAATTAATCAGAAGTTATTATTATTGTCGTT